CCATCACAGGTGTGTTGTGAGTGTGTGAGAGAGGGGGCACTAATAAGGAACACCATCACAGGTGTGTTGTGAGAGTGTGAGAGAGGGGGCACTAATAAGGAACACCATCACAGGTGTGTTGTGAGAGTGTGAGAGAGGGGGCACTAATAAGGAACACCACCACAGGTGTGTTGTGAGTGTGTGAGAGAGGGGGCACTAATAAGGAACACCTCCACAGGTGTGTTGTGAGAGTGTGAGAGAGGGGGCACTAATAAGGAACACCACCACAGGTGTGTTGTGAGAGTGTGAGAGAGGGGGCACTAATAAGGAACACCACCACAGGTGTGTTGTGAAAGTGTGAGAGAGGGGGCACTAATAAGGAACACCACCACAGGTGTGTTGTGAGAGTGTGAGAGAGGGGGCACTAATAAGGAACACCACCACAGGTGTGTTGTGAGAGTGTGAGAGAGGGGGCACTAATAAGGAACACCACCACAGGTGTGTTGTGAGAGTGTGAGAGAGGGGGCACTAATAAGGAACACCACCACAGGTGTGTTGTGAGAGTGTGAGAGTGTGAGAGGGGGGCACTAATAAGGAACACCACCACAGGTGTGTTGTGAGTGTGCGAGAGAGGGGGCACTAATAAGGAAAACCTCCACAGGTGTGTTGTGAGAGTGTGAGAGAGGGGGCACTAATAAGGAACACCACCACAGGTGTGTTGTGAGAGTGTGAGAGAGGGGGCACTAATAAGGAACACCACCACAGGTGTGTTGTGAGAGTGTGAGAGAGGGGGCACTAATAAGGAACACCACCACAGGTGTGTTGTGAGAGTGTGAGAGAGGGGGCACTAATAAGGAACACCACCACAGGTGTGTTGTGAGAGTGTGAGAGAGGGGCACTAATAAGGAACACCACCACAGGTGTGTTGTGAGAGTGTGAGAGAGGGGGCACTAATAAGGAACACCACCACAGGTGTGTTGTGAGAGTGTGAGAGAGGGGGCACTAATAAGGAACACCATCACAGGTGTGTTGTGAGAGTGTGAGAGAGGGGGCACTAATAAGGAACACCATCACAGGTGTGTTGTGAGAGTGTGAGAGAGGGGGCACTAATAAGGAACACCACCACAGGTGTGTTGTGAGAGTGTGAGAGAGGGGGCACTAATAAGGAACACCATCACAGGTGTGTTGTGAGAGTGTGAGAGAGGGGGCACTAATAAGGAACACCACCACAGGTGTGTTGTGAGAGTGTGAGAGAGGGGGCACTAATAAGGAACACCACCACAGGTGTGTTGTGAGTGTGAGAGAGGGGGCACTAATAAGGAACACCACCACAGGTGTGTTGTGAGAGTGTGAGAGAGGGGGCACTAATAAGGAACACCACCACAGGTGTGTTGTGAGAGTGTGAGAGAGGGGGCACTAATAAGGAACACCACCACAGGTGAGTTGTGAGAGTGTGAGAGAGGGGGCACTAATAAGGAGTGTGAGAGAGGGGGCACTAATAAGTGTGTTGTGACACCACCACAGGTGTGTTGTGAGAGTGTGAGAGAGGGGGCACTAATAAGGAACACCACCACAGGTGTGTTGTGAGAGTGTGAGAGAGGGGGCACTAATAAGGAACACCACCACAGGTGTGTTGTGAGTGTGTGAGAGAGGAGAGAGGGGGCACTAATAAGGAACACCACCACAGGTGTGTTGTGAGAGTGTGAGAGAGGGGGCACTAATAAGGAACACCACCACAGGTGTGTTGTGAGAGTGTGAGAGAGGGGGCACTAATAAGGAACACCACCACAGGTGTGTTGTGAGAGTGTGAGAGAGGGGGCACTAATAAGGAACACCACCACAGGTGTGTTGTGAGAGTGTGAGAGGGGGCACTAATAAGGAACACCACCACAGGTGTGTTGTGAGAGTGTGAGAGAGGGGGCACTAATAAGGAACACCACCACAGGTGTGTTGTGAGAGTGTGAGAGAGGGGGGAACACTAATAAGGAACACCCACCACAGGTGTGTTGTGAGAGTGTGAGAGAGGGGGCACTAATAAGGAACACCACCACAGGTGTGTTGTGAGAGTAATAAGGAACACCACCACAGGTGTGTTGTGAGAGAGGGGGGCACTAATAAGGAACACCACCACAGGTGTGTTGTGAGAGTGTGAGAGAGGGGGCACTAATAAGGAACACCACCACAGGTGTGTTGTGAGAGTGTGAGAGAGGGGGCACTAATAAGGAACACCACCACAGGTGTGTTGTGAGAGTGTGAGAGAGGGGGCACTAATAAGGAACACCACCACAGGTGTGTTGTGAGAGTGTGAGAGAGGGGGCACTAATAAGGAACACCACCACAGGTGTGTTGTGAGAGTGTGAGAGAGGGGGCACTAATAAGGAACACCACCACAGGTGTGTTGTGAGAGTGTGAGAGAGGGGGCACTAATAAGGAACACCACCACAGGTGTGTTGTGAGAGTGTGAGAGAGGGGGCACTAATAAGGAACACCACCACAGGTGTGTTGTGAGAGTGTGAGAGAGGGGGCACTAATAAGGAACACCACCACAGGTGTGTTGTGAGAGTGTGAGAGGGGGGCACTAATAAGGAACACCACCACAGGTGTGTTGTGAGAGTGTGAGAGAGGGGGCACTAATAAGGAACACCACCACAGGTGTGTTGTGAGAGTGTGAGAGAGGGGGCACTAATAAGGAACACCACCACAGGTGTGTTGTGAGAGTGTGAGAGAGGGGGCACTAATAAGGAACACCACCACAGGTGTGTTGTGAGAGTGTGAGAGAGGGGGCACTAATAAGGAACACCATCACAGGTGTGTTGTGAGAGTGTGAGAGAGGGGGCACTAATAAGGAACACCACCACAGGTGTGTTGTGAGAGTGTGAGAGAGGGGGCACTAATAAGGAACACCACCACAGGTGTGTTGTGAGAGTGTGAGAGAGGGGGCACTAATAAGGAACACCACCACAGGTGTGTTGTGAGAGTGTGAGAGAGGGGGCACTAATAAGGAACACCACCACAGGTGTGTTGTGAGAGTGTGAGAGAGGGGGCACTAATAAGGAACACCACCACAGGTGTGTTGTGAGAGTGTGAGAGAGGGGGCACTAATAAGGAACACCACCACAGGTGTGTTGTGAGAGTGTGAGAGAGGGGGCACTAATAAGGAACACCACCACAGGTGTGTTGTGAGAGTGTGAGAGAGGGGGCACTAATAAGGAACACCACCACAGGTGTGTTGTGAGAGTGTGAGAGAGGGGGCACTAATAAGGAACACCACCACAGGTGTGTTGTGAGAGTGTGAGAGAGGGGGCACTAATAAGGAACACCACCACAGGTGTGTTGTGAGAGTGTGAGAGAGGGGGCACTAATAAGGAACACCACCACAGGTGTGTTGTGAGAGTGTGAGAGAGGGGGCACTAATAAGGAACACCACCACAGGTGTGTTGTGAGAGTGTGAGAGAGGGGGCACTAATAAGGAACACCACCACAGGTGTGTTGTGAGAGTGTGAGAGAGGGGGCACTAATAAGGAACACCACCACAGGTGTGTTGTGAGAGTGTGAGAGAGGGGGCACTAATAAGGAACACCATCACAGGTGTGTTGTGAGAGTGTGAGAGAGGGGGCACTAATAAGGAACACCACCACAGGTGTGTTGTGAGAGTGTGAGAGAGGGGGCACTAATAAGGAACACCACCACAGGTGTGTTGTGAGTGTGAGAGAGGGGGCACTAATAAGGAACACCACAGGTGTGTTGTGAGTGTGAGAGAGGGGGCACTAATAAGGAACACCATCACAGGTGTGTTGTGAGAGTGTGAGAGAGGGGGCACTAATAAGGAACACCTCCACAGGTGTGTTGTGAGAGTGTGAGAGAGGGGGCACTAATAAGGAACACCACCACAGGTGTGTTGTGAGTGTGAGAGAGGGGGCACTAATAAGGAACACCACCACAGGTGTGTTGTGAGAGTGTGAGAGAGGGGGCACTAATAAGGAACACCACCACAGGTGTGTTGTGAGAGTGTGAGAGAGGGGGCACTAATAAGGAACACCACCACAGGTGTGTTGTGAGTGTGAGAGAGGGGGCACTAATAAGGAACACCACCACAGGTGTGTTGTGAGAGTGTGAGAGAGGGGGCACTAATAAGGAACACCTCCACAGGTGTGTTGTGAGAGTGTGAGAGAGGGGGCACTAATAAGGAACACCACCACAGGTGTGTTGTGAGAGTGTGAGAGAGGGGGCACTAATAAGGAACACCATCACAGGTGTGTTGTGAGAGTGTGAGAGAGGGGGCACTAATAAGGAACACCACCACAGGTATGTTGTGAGAGTGTGAGAGAGGGGGCACTAATAAGGAACAACACCACAGGTGTGTTGTGAGAGTGTGAGAGAGGGGTCACTAATAAGGAACACCATCACAGGTGTGTTGTGAGAGTGTGAGAGAGGGGCACTAATAAGGAACACCATCACAGGTGTGTTGTGAGAGTGTGAGAGAGGGGGCACTAATAAGGAACACCACCACAGGTGTGTTGTGAGTGTGAGAGAGGGGGCACTAATAAGGAACACCACAGGTGTGTTGTGAGAGTGTGAGAGAGGGGGCACTAATAAGGAACACCATCACAGGTGTGTTGTGAGAGTGTGAGAGAGGGGGCACTAATAAGGAACACCACAGGTGTGTTGTGAGAGTGTGAGAGAGGGGGCACTAATAAGGAACACCACAGGTGTGTTGTGAGAGTGTGAGAGAGGGGGCACTAATAAGGAACACCATCACAGGTGTGTTGTGAGAGTGTGAGAGAGGGGGCACTAATAAGGAACACCATCACAGGTGTGTTGTGAGAGTGTGAGAGAGGGGGCACTAATAAGGAACACCATCACAGGTGTGTTGTGAGAGTGTGAGAGAGGGGGCACTAATAAGGAACACCATCACAGGTGTGTTGTGAGAGTGTGAGAGAGGGGGCACTAATAAGGAACACCACCACAGGTGTGTTGTGAGAGTGTGAGAGAGGGGGCACTAATAAGGAACACCATCACAGGTAAGGAGTGTCACGACAACAGTCCGTACTGTAGCTTCTGGGCGGAGGCTGGAGAGTGCACAACCAACCCCACCTACATGACCATCTTCTGCAAGCTGTCATGCGCCATCTGTCACGCCCCAGGTCAGTCCCCCCCCCCCCCAGGCAGCACCACGAACCGGTTCACCTGTGAGGACCCGCTGGTTGGTCCTCACACACAACCCGGCTCCGTCACGGACATGTCTGTGTCCCACAGTTACTCTCAGGGGAGCTGCTTCTCCTGGTCCTGTAAGGCGTTGACCCAAACTTTTGTCTCTGTACCTGTGCAAAACCTTCTTCCTCCTCTGTCCTTAGTTGGTGATGGTGTGGCTGTGGTGGGTGATGGTGTGGCTGTGGTGGGTGATGGTGTGGCTGTGGTGGGTGATGGTGTGACTGTGGTGGGTGATGGTGTGGCTGTGGTGGGTGATGGTGTGGCTGTGGTGGGTGATGGTGTGGCTGTGGTGGGTGGTGGTGTGGCTGTGATGGTGTGGCTGTGGTGGGTGATGGTGTGGCTGTGGTGGGTGATGGTGTGGCTGTGGTGGGTGATGGTGTGGCTGTGGTGGGTGATGGTGTGGCTGTGGTGGGTGATGGTGTGGCTGTGGTGGGTGATGGTGTGGCTGTGGTGGGTGGTGGTGTGGCTGTGATGGTGTGGCTGTGGGTGGGTGATGGTGTGGCTGTGGTGGGTGATGATGGTGTGGCTGTGGTGGGTGATGGTGTGACTGTGGTGGGTGATGGTGTGGCTATGGTGAGTGATGGTGTGACTGTGGTGGGTGATGGTGTGGCTGTGGTGGGTGATGGTGTGACTGTGGTGGGTGATGGTGTGGCTGTGGTGGGTGATGGTGTGGCTGTGGTGGGTGGTGGTGTGGCTGTGGTGGGTGATGGTGTGGCTGTGGTGGGTGGTGGTGTGGCTGTGGAGGGTGATGGTGTGGCTGTGGTGGGTGGTGGTGTGGCTGTGGTGGGTGATGGTGTGGCTGTGGAGGGTGATGGTGTGGCTGTGGTGGGTGGTGGTGTGGCTGTGGTGGGTGATGGTGTGGCTGTGGAGGGTGGTGGTGTGGCTGTGGTGGGTGGTGGTGTGGCTGTGGTGGGTGATGGTGTGGCTGTGGTGGGTGGTGGTGTGGCTGTGGTGGGTGATGGTGTGGCTGTGGAGGGTGATGGTGTGGCTGTGGTGGGTGATGGTGTGGCTGTGGGCTGGGTGGTGGTGTGTGGCTGTGGAGGGTGATGGTGTGGCTGTGGTGGGTGGTGGTGTGGCTGTGGAGGGTAATGGTGTGGCTGTGGTGGGTGATGGTGTGGCTGTGGAGGGTGATGGTGTGGCTGTGGTGGGTGGTGGTGTGGCTGTGGTGGGTGGTGGTGTGGCTGTGGAGGGTGATGGTGTGGCTGTGGTGGGTGGTGGTGTGGCTGTGGTGGGTGATGGTGTGGCTGTGGTGGGTGGTGGTGTGGCTGTGGAGGGTGATGGTGTGGCTGTGGTGGGTGGTGGTGTGGCTGTGGAGGGTGATGGTGTGGCTGTGGTGGGTGATGGTGTGGCTGTGGTGGGTGATGGTGTGGCTGTAGTGGGTGATGGTGTGGCTGTAGTTTGTTGACTGAGTTGCAGCGTCAGTGAATGCAAAATAAGATAAGATAAGATAAGATAAGATAAGATAAGATAAGATAAGATAAGATAAGATAAGATAAGATAAGATAAGATAATTATTCAGGTAAAAGTACATACATAGAAGATGAGTTACAAAGATAATGTTGGAATAACAGACAGAGGTAGTACATACAATACCTAAGGCCACTAATACTCCCAGCGTTTCGGGCAAGGTGAGGGGGGAACACTTAAACTATACCTTAATATTAATCGAGATCAAAAGCTTAAATTTAATTTAAAAAATGGATAAAAATAAAAAGATAATGATAATAGTTAAATGATGGATAAAACAGCAGAAAATGCATCAGAACAGCAGAAGGAAATTTAACTTAATAAACAGAAGATTACAATTGTGTATAAGTTTATACATGACATATATCAGCAGGTGAACAAGTTGGTCAAGCATCAATAATGTTGGAAAATAGTAAGACAAGGGTTGACATTTAGGGGTAAGGTAGGTTACAGGGAGATAATTAGGTAGTGTTTAGTTTTTATCTTAAACTGGTTGAGAGAGGTACAGTCTTTAACATGGTTGGGAAGGTCATTCCACATTCTGGGTCCCTTGATTTGTAGAGCATTTCTAGTTTGGTTAAGTCGTACTCTTGGAATATCAAATAGGTATTTGTTTCTGGTGTGGTGCTCATGGGTTCTGTTACAACCTTCTAGGAAGCTTCTAAGGTCAGGATTGGCATTACAGTTCAGCGTTTTATATATGTATAATACACATGAGAGAATGTGTAGTGACTTAATATCTAACATATTCAGAGATTTGAGTAGGGGTACCGAGTGATGTCTGGGGCCAGAGTTGGATATTGTCCTAATAGCAGCTTTGTGTTGAGTAATTAGAGGACGTAAATGATTTTGGGTTATCTTGAGGTTATCTTGAGATGATTTCGGGGCTTTAGTGTCCCCGGGGCCCGGTCCTCGACCAGGCCTCCACCCCCAGGAAGCAGCCCGTGACAGCTGACTAACACCCAGGTACCTATTTTACTGCTAGGTAACAGGGGCATAGGATGAAAGAAACTTTGCCCATTGTTTCTCGCCGGCGCCTGGGATCGAACCCAGGACCACAGGATCACAAGTCCAGCGTGCTGTCCGCTCGGCCGACCGGCTCCAGTAGTAGAACCCCAAGCACAAATACCATAGTTGAGGTAAGAATGGATGAGAGAGTAATAGAGAGTCACCAGGGCAGGGCGGGGTACATAATATCTGATCTTAGAAAGAACGCCAACAGTTTCAGAAACTTTTTTTTGCTATATTTAGAATGTGTCCCTGGAAATTCAGCTTGTTATCGATGAGGACACCAAGGAATTTGCCATCAACTTTGTTACTAATTTGTATATTGTTTATTCTTAGATTAATTTCATTTGAGGATTTATTGCCAAACAAAATATAGAAAGTTTTGTCAGTGTTAAGGGTGAGTTTGTTGGCAGTTAGCCAAAGATGGACTTTATTTAGTTCAGTATTCACAGTGGACATTTAGAGCAAGAGGGTCAGGACTGGAGAAGATGAAGGATGTGTCATCAGCAAATAAGATTGGTTTGAGGTGTTGGGAGGCATTTGGAAGGTCATTAATGTAGATGAGAAAGAGGAGAGGGCCAAGTATGCTGCCCTGAGGAACACCAATGTTGATGGGTAGGGTGGGAGAAATGGAATTATTCACAGAAACATACTGGAGCCTGTCAGTAAGGTAAGACTGAAGGTATTGGAGGGAGTGACCTCAGACTCCATAATGATGTAATTTAAGAAGAAGGTTTTGGTGGTTGACAGTGTCAAAAGCCTTACGTAGGTCCACAAATAACCCCAACAGGGAACTCATTTTTATCAAGAGCTGCATGTATCAAGTTAATCATACTAATAAGTGCATCGTTAGTGCTTTTTTTGGTCTGAAGCCATATTGACAAGAGCTAAGTATATTGTGTTTGGCTAGATAATAGTAAAGCTGCTTGTAGATTAGTTTTTCAAATATTTTTGACAAGTTTGGCAGAACTGATATGGGTCTGAAGTTGTTGACATCAGTGAGATCACCACATTTGTGGACTGGGGTTACTCTCGCTTGTTTAGAATATCCAAATATTCTTCATTTTGCGTATTTAATGTTTTTTAATGTATTTTAATAAATATTATAAGAAATGTATTTTAAGCTGAATATGTATTCTAAGCTTCACTGACTTTAAGCTTGTATGATTCAATTTTGGCGCTGAAATAATATTATGATTCTTGTGGCTTATTTTGTTAATGGAAGCCTTGTCTGTCCTCACATTGTGGGTAATATTGTGGCTTGTGAAGCAGGGAAAATGTTTAATGTATTGTAACTTTATGTATATTGTCTGTCTTTGTCTGTCACATTCACTCACTCACACACTCACTGTCTCACTCACTCACTCACACACTCACTGTCTCACTCACACGCTCACTGTCTCACTCTCACTGTCTCACTCACTCACTGTCTCACTCACACACTCACTGTCTCACTCACACACTCACTGTCTCACTCACACACTCACTGTCTCACTCACACACTCACTGTCTCACTCACACACTCACTGTCTCACTCTCACACTCACTGTCTCACTCTCACACTCACTGTCTCACTCTCACACTCACTGTCTCACTCTCACACTCACTGTCTCACTCACACACTCACTGTCTCACTCACACACTCACTGTCTCACTCTCACACTCACTGTCTCACTCACACACTCACTGTCTCACTCACACACTCACTGTCTCACTCACACACTCACTGTCTCACTCACACACTCACTGTCTCACTCTCACACTCACTGTCTCACTCTCACACTCACTGTCTCACTCTCACACTCACTGTCTCACTCTCACACTCACTGTCTCACTCACACACTCACTGTCTCACTCACACACTCACTGTCTCACTCACACACTCACTGTCTCACTCTCACACTCACTGTCTCACTCTCACACTCACTGTCTCACTCACACACTCACTGTCTCACTCACACACTCACTGTCTCACTCACACACTCACTGTCTCACTCTCACACTCACTGTCTCACTCTCACACTCACTGTCTCACTCTCACACTCACTGTCTCACTCTCACACTCACTGTCTCACTCTCACACTCACTGTCTCACTCTCACACTCACTGTCTCACTCTCACACTCACTGTCTCACTCACACACTCACTGTCTCACTCTCACACTCACTGTCTCACTCTCACACTCACTGTCTCACTCTCACACTCACTGTCTCACTCTCACACTCACTGTCTCACTCTCACACTCACTGTCTCACTCACACACTCACTGTCTCACTCACACACTCACTGTCTCACTCACACACTCACTGTCTCACTCACACACTCACTGTCTCACTCTCACACTCACTGTCTCACTCTCACACTCACTGTCTCACTCTCACACTCACTGTCTCACTCTCACACTCACTGTCTCACTCACACACTCACTGTCTCACTCACACACTCACTGTCTCACTCACACACTCACTGTCTCACTCACACACTCACTGTCTCACTTTCACACTCACTGTCTCACTCTCACACTCACTGTCTCACTCACACACTCACTGTCTCACTCACACACTCACTATCTCACTCACACACTCACTGTCTCACTCACACACTCACTGTCTCACTCACACACTCACTGTCTCACTCTCACACTCACTGTCTCACTCTCACACTCACTGTCTCACTCACACACTCACTGTCTCACTCACACACTCACTGTCTCACTCACACACTCACTGTCTCACTCACACACTGTCTCACTCACACACTCACTGTCTCACTCACACACTCACTGTCTCACTCTCACACTCACTGTCTCACTCTCACACTCACTGTCTCACTCACACACTCACTGTCTCACTCACACACTCACTGTCTCACTCTCACACTCACTGTCTCACTCACACACTCACTGTCTCACTCACACACTCACTGTCTCACTCTCACACTCACTGTCTCACTCACACACTCACTGTCTCACTCTCACACTCACTGTCTCACTCACACACTCACTGTCTCACTCACACACTCACTGTCTCACTCACACACTCACTGTCTCACTCACACACTCACACACTCACTGTCTCACTCACACACTCACTGTCTCACTCACACACTCACTGTCTCACTCACACACTCACACTCAATGTCTCACTCACACACTCACTGTCTCACTCACACACTCACTGTCTCACTCACACACTCACTGTCTCACTCTCACTCACTGTCTCACTCACACACTCACTGTCTCACTCACACACTCACTGTCTCACTCTCACACTCACTGTCTCACTCACACACTCACTGTCTCACTCACACACTCACTGTCTCACTCACACACTCACTGTCTCACTCACACACTCACTGTCTCACTCACACACTCACTGTCTCACTCACACACTCACTGTCTCACTCTCACACTCACTGTCTCACTCACACACTCACTGTCTCACTCACACACTCACTGTCTCACTCACACACTCACTGTCTCACTCTCACACTCACTGTCTCACTCTCACACTCACTGTCTCACTCTCACACTCACTGTCTCACTCACACACTCACTGTCTCACTCACACACTCACTGTCTCACTCTCACACTCACTGTCTCACTCACACACTCACTGTCTCACTCTCACACTCACTGTCTCACTCTCACACTCACTCACTGTCTCACTCACACACTCACTGTCTCACTCACACACTCACTGTCTCACTCACACACTCACTGTCTCACTCACACACTCACTGTCTCACTCTCACACACTCACTGTCTCACTCACACACTCACTCACTGTCTCACTCACACACTCACTGTCTCACTCACACACTCACTGTCTCACTCACACACTCACTGTCTCACTCACACACTCACTGTCTCACTCACACACTCACTGTCTCACTCACACACTCACTGTCTCACTCTCACACTCACTGTCTCACTCACACACTCACTGTCTCACTCTCACACTCACTGTCTCACTCTCACACTCACTGTCTCACTCACACACTCACTGTCTCACTCTCACACTCACTGTCTCACTCACACACTCACTGTCTCACTCACACACTCACTGTCTCACTCACACACTCACTGTCTCACTCACACACTCACTGTCTCACTCACACACTCACTGTCTCACTCACACACTCACTGTCTCACTCACACACTCACTGTCTCACTCTCACACTCAATGTCTCACTCACACACTCACTGTCTCACTCTCACACTCACTGTCTCACTCACACACTCACTGTCTCACTCTCACACTCACTGTCTCACTCACACACTCACTGTCTCACTCTCACACTCACTGTCTCACTCACACACTCACTGTCTCACTCACACACTCACTGTCTCACTCACACACTCACTGTCTCACTCACACACTCACTGTCTCACTCACACACTCACTGTCTCACTCACACACTCACTGTCTCACTCACACACTCACTGTCTCACTCACACACTCACTGTCTCACTCACACACTCACTGTCTCACTCACACACTCACTGTCTCACTCTCACACTCACTGTCTCACTCACACACTCACTGTCTCACTCACACACTCACTGTCTCACTCACACACTCACTGTCTCACTCACACACTGTCTCACTCACACACTCACTGTCTCACTCACACACTCACTGTCTCACTCACACACTCACTGTCTCACTCACACACTCACTGTCTCACTCACACACTCACTCACTCACTCACTCACACACTCACTGTCTCACTCACACACTCACTGTCTCACTCACACACTCACTGTCTCACTCACACACTCACTCACTCACACACTCACTGTCTCACTCACACACTCACTGTCTCACTCACACACTCACTGTCTCACTCACACACTTGTCTCACTCACACACTCACTGTCTCACTCACACACTCACTGTCTCACTCACACACTCACTGTCTCACTCACACACTCACTGTCTCACTCTCACACTCACTGTCTCACTCACACACTCACTGTCTCACTCACACACTCACTGTCTCACTCACACACTCACTGTCTCACTCACACACTCACTGTCTCACTCACACACTCACTCTCTCACTCACACACTCACTGTGTCACTCACAACCACACACTCACGTCTCGCCACACATGTAACCAACCATGACGTGACGCCACCATGTAACAACCATGACGTGACGCCACACATGTAACAACCATGACGTGACGCCAGCATGTAACCAACCATGACGTGACGCCAGCATGTAACAACCATAACGTGACGCCACCATGTAACAACCATGACGTGACGCCAGCATGTAACAACCATGACGTGACGCCACCATGTAACAACCATGACGTGACGCCAGCATGTAACCAACCATGACGTGACGCCAGCATGTAACCAACCATAACGTGACGCCACCATGTAACAACCATGACGTGACGCCAGCATGTAACATGTGACCAACCATGACGTGACGCCACCATGTAACAACCATGACGTGACGCCACCATGTAACAACCATGACGTGACGCCAGCATGTAACCAACCATGACGTGACGCCAGCATGTAACCAACCATGACGTGACGCCAGCATGTAACCAACCATAACGTGACGCCACCATGTAACAACAACCATGACGTGACGCCAGCATGTAACCAACCATGTGACGCCACATGTAACCCATGACGTGACGCCAGCATGTAACCAACCATAACGTGACGCCACCATGTAACAACCATGACGTGACGCCAGCATGTAACCAACCATGACGTGACGCCAGCATGTAACCAACCATGACGTGACGCCAGCATGTAAACAACCATGACGTGACGCCAGCATGTAACCAACCATGACGTGACGCCAGCATGTAACCAACCATGACGTGACGCCAGCATGTAACCAACCATGACGTGACGCCAGCATGTAACCAACCATGACGTGACGCCAGCATGTAAACAACCATGACGTGACGCCACCATGTAAACAACCATGACGTGACGCCAGCATGTAAACAACCATGACGTGACGCCACCATGTAACCAACCATGACGTGACGCCAGCATGTAACCAACCATGACGTGACGCCAGCATGTAACCAACCATGACGTGACGCCACCATGTAACCAACCATGACGTGACGCCACCATGTAAACAACCCACCGGCAGGTCTAACCACCATCCCCCCCCCCCCCCCACAGAGGAGAGCGGGGCCTGCGAGGACCGACACAAGCACTGTGCTGCCTGGTACGAGTCTGGACAGTGTCGTACCAACCCAAACTACATGTTGGTCTACTGCAGGACGTCGTGCAGGCAGTGTTGAGCAGGCCGTGGCCGTGGTGGTGGTGGCGGTGTGGTGCCTGAGGCGGCGGTATAGTCCCCTCACAGCACCTACACAGAAGGCCTCGACCCCTACTATATCGCCCGGTGGTGTTACCAGCAAGGGAGGACGCTGGGGAGGTAGGGTGTCTCTCCAGTGTGGAGCGTCTCACCTAACTTGCACTCACTCCTCGCCACCAGTACTCACATCACTCACTCCAGTACTCTCTACAACAACAGTCAGCCATAGGAGTCACGTGTCATGACAGCCATGACAGAGGGACACTGTCATGTCACCAGCCGTCACCAGCCGTCACCATGGAGTAAGATCACCGAGGGCTCTGCTCCTCCTCTCTGTATAGATAGCACAGATCCTCTTAACTCCTTTATGCTCCACCTTGACTAATTATTTATGTTGTTTACTCTAGTGGCCTCTACGAGGAGAGGAAGCGGGCGGCTTGTCAAAGGTTCCCTCCCCCACTGTGCTAGGATGATACAAGAATACCCCCTCTAATTGAATCTCAAAATGCAATTTGATAGAATTATTAGATTCATGCAGAAATCACATAAATGTGATTTATATCAATGAGATAATCCACTGGGATTTTTCCCAGTGGATTCCTTCCACCCGAGTGCTTGTGGGTCGTACATAAAAACCTGGACTGACTTCAGTAGAAACTTCTAGACTTCCCATGATATCAGGTGGCAGTGGTGGTTTAGTGGTAGAGTACACGACTGACAATGCACGAGTCGTAGGTTCGTCCCCACCTAGAGTTCCAGTGGATGTTTTAATTATTATAGTTCTAAACTACTTTTTGTCCCAGTTAGACCATTATTAAGGAATCATTATCCCAGACACGTAACCCTGGAAACACAAACCGAAACTGTCTCTATTTTCCGCTTGTTACAACTTGAAATAAAGTTGTTACATCTTGGCTTAACGTGTTTATGACAACGGTTAGAACGTTGTTACAAAACTTGCTATAGGGTTGTTATAACTGGTAAGGTGTGTACTAAAAAACTTGCTCGAACGTTGTACCAACGTCGCAGTTTCGCTGTGTGTTTGGCGGGAAGCTCCCGCTTGGCTGAGGGAAGTATGACAACGGTAAACTGTGTACTAACAAAACACGGTTCCTTAATTAATACCAATCAATACCAGACATTCGTTTACAGCCTCATGTGAACCTTAGTTCTTATGGGAATACCGTTTACAGCCTCATGTGAACCTTAGTTCTTATGGGAATACCGTTTATGACTTTAAGCTTGTATGATTAATCTTTGGCACTGAAATTATTATGATTTATTTTGTTAATGAGAGCCTAATTGCCTGTCCTCACACTATGGTTAGTGTGAGGACACCAAAAAAATGTATTTTGACCGGACAGCAAGACGCCTCAATTTTTGGAGGCGTCAAACATTAGTGACTTCTCCTCTGGTGACTTCCCTGATACAAGTTTATAATCACTTAATGATATATCAGCAAGTTCAATAAAAGTTATACAATTTATCATTACTCATCAGATCACTATGTGATCACAATTGAATATAGTAGATCACAAGTCATTCGTATTAATCAATATTCAACATCTTATTACACCAGTATTTTGGTCATTATTCATAAAACTGGAACGATGATAATTGTTACAAGGAATAAATGAATTAAATAAATGAATTAAATAAATAAATAAACAATAATCTCAGACTAATCAGCCAATAATACACTGCTGGTCCCTTCTATTAGAATATTCTACAGGACCTTCTCCCCGGCTCACAGAACGGTAGAGAGGGTCCTGTAAAACATTATTGATGAAAATGTGACTCCTACTGACATCAACCAGAAGATTGAACCAATAATATACTATAAGAGCAAGATGACTGCCAACTTGCTCATAAACAACTCTCCTGACACCAAACAAACCCACTTGAAAGAGACAAATCTCACCAATTCCCACTTGAGTACTGTCGACCCCCAACGATTTTAATATATGGGCAAGACAACAACATCCCTTTCAAGGTGCCTAACAATGCACAAACACATGAAGATTGGACATTGTCAAGGCATTAAACATCAAACCCAACCAACTGTCACCACACATCTCTCCGGTCTTTGAGAACACGGTGAAATATCCGACATACTGTCCCAGCCATCACGGAAACATTGGGGGCTTGGTAAGCTGCAATGAGCCTATTGGCACAGATGTGAGATGCTTAGCCTTCACCTCATCCCCGGCTATATCCGGCTGCTCAAATACTTGTATCCACTTGATCTCTGACTTTAATTATGCTAACGTTAAGAGCCAACGAAATGCATCTCTTAAGTTAAAGGTCTTAATAAAATTATAAAATGAACTTTGGAGAGTTAATTTTTCAACTTCCTTCTCAAGTGAAGAAAAACATAAGAAAAGAGAAGATTCGTGCTACAATTACTTATGGTCACCCTTTCTGTCGTATTCAGTAATGTAACATATAATTAATTGTAATTGACATTGTAGACATTATAATATGTCTACAAGAAAGATTGCTCCCAAAATATACTAACATATGAGAGGGTAAAATGCAACACACTACTAATTTATAAAAATAATTATCTATTAATTAAAACCACAATAAATGGAGACTGGATAGTTCAATGTCAAGTCGGGACCATATTCAGCAGTGAGTGAGAATGACAGCCTCAGTTGCATATACGATGTCAAGTCAGGACAATCAAAATTGGTTTTCATATATTTAAATAAAATTGGTGATAAATTATTCCAGATTTATGAGAAAGAGACAAGGCTGTAGGCGCTGTTGTCTAAACCTGTCCTCTTACATATTACGTTTGAAGTTGCCCGTTTGCCTGTATGACCGAAAATGGACGTAATTTGAAAATGAAAAAAATGAAAATATATTTTGGATTTTTTTTCCCAAAACAGTAAGTTAGTAAACACTGGGCAGAAGACTAGCTTCATGCTACATTGTCACACCCCCCCCCCCCCACTCCCATCTTAGTACAATATACCGAGGAGAGACGGTAGACAATCTCCAGTGATGCGGTAGTCAGAGAGAGATTCACCATCATCATGATCTACCGCATCAAGGTCCGGTTTAAGGGGGAAACCAGATTCACCCGACCCCAAATACTTAAGAAAATTGTTGACATCACGAATGCTTCACCATTGGACATTCGCGACGATGCCGACGGCGCTGTACTTCTATACTCAAGCGAGGAAGCTCTGGAGCAACTGTTTGCACCAGGACGCCTTACTCAACACCAACCTTATCATCGTACCTACCCGACGCTACCTGGCTGAACGAACCATCTTCGTCAGCCACACGAGTGTCTACATCATCACCCAGGACCCTGACACCATATTGGCAAACATCAACTCAAGAAACTCAGCTCTGACTGCAGTCAAAGTTAAAGTCATCACAACACCGAGTCCACGGCCCACTCTCAAGGTTACCTTCTCAACAGCTGCAGCAGCGACTCAGGCAGTAGAAAACGGCTTCAGATGCCTGGATCTATCCATCACACTGTCAAGAAGGAACGGAACTACATCATACGTAAAGGCTTCAAGTGTTTCAAGTACGAACACGACACCACGAACTGCTCACAAGCAGAGGCAAAGTGCAGCATCTGCACCGAAAACCACCACTTTAAAAACGGTCGGTCGATAATCAAAAAGTGCATCAACTGTTGAGAAGCACACACCGCCGTCTCCATGGACTGCCAAGTATGACTTGTGGAAATTAAGAAATTAAGAAATCGGCAACTGTCACATCAACAACCAGTCAGCAGGTGAGCTTCAATATCCAGGCAACGTCGTTCCCAGCGTTACCGAATGTTTCTGCTACACAGACGTCCACACCAAGTTAGCCCCCCCCCCCCCACACACACTGGGTACCAGTATCGTTGCAAGAGGACGCATCTCGTCTCCTCGCAGTGTGACCTAGGCGGCCCTCTGCTTGAGCGCTACGCACGCCCACTCTACCAACGCCTGATACCTCTTAGAGTGTGTGAGTGGATGGATCGATCAGCTCGCCAGCCATAAAGCAAGCCAGCATCGTCTCGCTGTCCTACAGCAGCTGTTATTCTCCAGCCTCGACGAGCACTTCGGTGCAGCCATAACCAGTTCCAGCCAGCAGCAGTGTATTGGAGCAGAACCAGGCGCTTCCCAGCCAGCATCTTGACCTAGGCAGTGACATCTTCCTCGTGGCATCTTCTGTGTGTTGTCCAATGTGCTTGTGTCCAGGTCGGACTGCATTTAGGTGAACAGCCCCACTTCGTGCCAGAACAGGCCCAGGTGAGAAGACGGAAGTTCACCTTTTGCAGCTGCGTCATGGTATACGTGCATTCTTTTTCTCCTCTCCTAAAATTCTTCCGTTTCTGACACTGCCGAGCCAGTTGTGGAATCTCGTAATCGTGCGAGCCCACCATAACTGGGGGTTGCAACATTCCGGAACACGGTGTTTGTTCGTGGTGAGACCCTGAGGCCAGGTCTTAGACCTGGCCTACACACTGACCCCCACTGAGCTTATAGAATCGCAGTGATTGGCACAAACACGAGACTGTCAGTAGATAGTGAGTCACAATGGCTCACTGTCTACGGATGACCTACACTGGGAATAAACCCAGACACAATTGACTGCATCACTACCTTTTACAATGCCACTGGCACACCTGCCGCTAACCATTATTATAGTGCGGGTTGGTGGTGTTGTCGCATTGTTGATCCTTCTTTATGGACAACCCAACCCACAGCTCGGTGGAGTGCTTATACTTCACCAAGAGATCACACTGGGCACTTCTGGCTCTTGGAGAGGGGCTCAACGTCACACGTTTAGGGGATGCGGCTCCAATACTTAGCCTCGTTGTCACGTGCACACACCCATTCGAGCCGCTGTGACTCCCCACTCTCTCCTTATGTGATATAATCTCCTCAATCCCCTTTGACTTATTAGTTTGCCGTCCGACCCTGTCCGCAGCAGTGGTTCTTGGTTCTTTCTCTCTCTCTCCTTCTTTACTACATCTTGGGAAGCCTCACTAGGACAAGGGCAAACATCAGCTAATTTGAATACATTTACTGGACAAAGCACATACACAATACATACACACATATAATAATAATGAATCCTACACTCTATACTATTTCAATCAGGTTGCACTCCAACACCATCAGAACTCTATCATCAGCTTATCAAGTGGTGTTCTATCTCCTGGTTCACCACCTAATATTACCAACCTCCTCAAGTAGGTCAAGTCATATAATACAATGTTGCACTATCAGCAAGAGAATATATATATATCTATAAACATGTACAAGGAAAATCAGCGTGTGACTGCAATAACATATATATCAGTATAAATGTTCCTTGATACACAACAATGATCAATCGATCACTCTATCAGTCCTAGAACACATACATCTGTAGGTAATCCAGCCTACGACCGTAACTCTATACTTCAGTATAAACGCTCCTCGGCACAAAAATGGCAAACAATCACCCACCTCTCACAGCGTCTTGCACGTTAATGACAACCAAACACTATCAACTCCCTACAAGTAATCCACCAGAACTTCCCTTCCACATCTGGAAGTTCACTACCCTGATCTCTTTAGGTTCTTCTGGGCTTCACTACCAGGATCCCCTGCAGCTCCTCCAGGCTGCTACACCATGAAGTTTTCCTTGAGCAACTATAGAGCTTCACCCTTCTGCTAGGTTCCTCCACAGCTCTCTGGGCTGCTACACCATGAAGTTCCCTCGAGCAACTATGGTGCTTCACCACCTCTACAGAAGCACGTGACACTCCTCTTCACTGCTTCTCCTCACAGCTCGAGGTCCTCTGCTCCACTACCTTGGAGTCTCATCAACTACTAACTCTGTGCTGGCTTCGAAGTTC